TTGATTTTCTGGCTAACAAGGAAGGCATCAGCATTTTGACTGTCAGCTTGGGCAGCAACAGCACTGATTCTTTTGTGGTTTTGAAAGAGATGAATGAAAAGAACCAGACATTGCCTTCCAAATCCATGCCATGCTGCTCCATCATATTTAAGGAATAGCTTACCCCAAGCCCCCATTTCCAGCAAATCTCTCCCATGCAAAGCAGCCTTGTGGTTGATGGAAACTCATCTTCAAGTATATACATATATGAGGCAGGGAAGGAGAAGGCTGAGGAGACTCACGTGGGCAGTAGTATATGACACTGAAATCACCTCTGCTCTCCAGCTGTGCTTACCCCACCAGTAAGCACAGAAACAGCAGTGATGACAACTTAGCAATCCCTGTTAGGAACAAGCAGTCAAAAACTGGCGCTCCCAAGATGTCAATAATCTAGAAGCATTTTTAATAGTGTGTGGAAGAAGCTTACGTGGCTGAAGGCATGCACTTCAAGAAGCTGCTCAAGCATGGGCAGGACTTGGGCCACGTCTCCAATAACAACCTGAAGCCTCAGCAGAGGGCATTGCTACTGACACACAGAGTAGGCACTGTAGGGAACAGTGGCTTCCTTATTGTGAAGAGTAAGAGTCATCCAGAGAAGTAGGGAGGTGGATGGGCAAATAGCAAGAGGTGGAAGGCAGAAGACTACACATACACATCTCAAGAATAAGTTCCAGGTTATCATGGTGAAGCTTGGAGGGGTGCAGGAAAAGACTTTCTGCATACATAAAAATTCTAGTATTACTTATCGCCTACAGGAGGTGATAGCCCTGGATGACTACTCATTTTCTCTGGTGGAGAACACTGGTTTCCGTAGGTTTGTGGCAGAACTGGCACCCCAATTATCCACAGGGTGGAGCCAGATTTATATTGGGGTGTCAGGCAACCTGGTATAGCAAAAGTTGGCCAGGTCACAGGTCGTACATTTTATAAGTGACACCTGAAGCAGCTAAGATGCAAAACATGCTGTATCTCCTTGCATATCACTGGTGCAAGGTGGAAACATTGGGCAACCCTCAAGGCCAGGATAAAGATGGGACATGTTGCATTTGTCCTGCAAAGCTTACAGAGAGCAACACAGATCCTTAGTGAGAAGACAGTCATCCTTAGGCAGATGATCCCAGTGTTCCAAGTCTTGGTTGGAATAATAGAGGATATAATGAGGAGATAGTCTAGGTGGATGGGGAAATTCTATAGAGGGAGAAACATATTTTTTTTCTCAGCCTGAAGCAGTGGCCTAGGCCAGTAAGCAAAAAACCCTGCTCCTCTACAGACCTGCTTCCTTGTGGAAGAATGATAGAACATAGAATAATAAAGTTGGAAGGGGTCTATAAGGCCATCGAGTCCAATCAATGAAAGAATATAAATCAAAGAAGGCCATCGAGTCCAACCCCCTGTTCAATGAAAGAATATAAATCAAAGGGTTTCTGCCAGGTGGCTTGTCTAAATTTCTCTTGAATGCCTCCAGTGTTGGAGCACTCAACACCTCTCAAGATAACTGGTTCCAGGAAGGAAGAGTACACTCACCACCTCTCAAGATAACTGGTTCCAGGACTCTAGCAAACCTCTCTGACCTCTGAGTTAAACAGTGGGCGGTGGATGTTGAGTATCTAGCAAACCTCTCTGACCTCTGAGTTAAACAGTGGGCAGTGGATATTGAGTAGCAGCAAGGTGTGTGTGTGTGTGTGGGGGGCACGCGGCAGCAATGCAGCAGCAGCTAGTGAAGAAATCCCAGTGCACATCTCTACTTTTAAGAGAGAGAAAATAAAATTTGGAAAAAAAAGACTTGATTTTTCAGGTATCCAAAGTTAATACCATACTCTCTGACCTCTGAGTTAAACAGTGGGCAGTGGATATTGAGTAGCAGCAAGGTGTGTGTGTGTGTGTGGGGGGCACGCGGCAGCAATGCAGCAGCAGCTAGTGAAGAAATCCCAGTGCACATCTCTACTTTTAAGAGAGAGAAAATAAAATTTGGAAAAAAAAGACTTGATTTTTCAGGTATCCAAAGTTAATACCATAAAGCAAACTTCCCCGTGCATCGGTCACACATACAACCATCAAATCTGTTAGAGAAAAAAGAAACTTTTGAATCGAAAGCAGTTACCATGCTTCTGCGATACCTGTGATTTTCTTCTGAATGGGCAATCCATTCTTTCAACAAGACTGCATTATGTGGGCATGCCAGTTTTTCATTTAACAGATGGCACTGTTATAATAATTACAGAGGACACTAGCGCAGTCTGCTTTCAACCCTGACCTGTTTGTAGCGTGCCTCAGTAATAAACAAGCTACAAAAACTAAATGGTGGTGGGTGTTCAGGGATTTATTCTATTCTTCCATGCCCCCCTTCTGCCTCTCACTTCACTGTGTTGACAAATAAGCAGCTGTCAAGACAATTACATACACCAGGGTCAAAAGAGGTGATTATGGAGTGCACGAAGCACAGTGTGCAACAGAAGAGTTTCATACAAAATCGCAGCCTATCAGACAATGAATAAAACTTGCTAGCAGAAGAACCATGACATGCTGAATGAGCTGATGTATGAGGGCAGACCGCAGCTTCTTAATATGGTCTTAGCTAGTGGTTTTCACACTGGATGGCAGAATCTTGGGTCCCTCATTGTGAAGATCAGTAATGCATACTAGCTTCCCTGAACATTTGTTTCCTCATAATTTACCAACATTTTAGCTACAAGAAGGGAACTGGGTATCTTTGCCCTCTCAGTTCATAGTTCTCATGGAAGAACTGAAACTCATTAGACCTAGACCATAATAGCCCACACTAACCAAATGGGCAACTCAGAACATGACTAAGGTTTTGTAATAGATGTATAGAAGCACCTCAGCACTTTATTTATAGATTGATTAATTAATTTATACATCGCCCCTTTAGTGCATACTCACTATTCTGGGTGGTGTACAAGCAGCTAAAACCAATGTAAAAACACAATGAACTATAAGTTAAAATAGAAATAACAAGTAAAATTACTCTGATGTGGGAAAGGTTTCAAAATCACTCACTCTGGTTCACTGCTTATCTGTTATATCAGATATTTAGGATATACTGTAAATCAATTGCTATGACATGTTCTTTTTGAGGTAGTTCTCAAAACAAAACAAAATATTCCCTGGAAAAGACCCTGATGTTGGGAAAGTGTGAAGGCAAGAGAAGGGGATGACAGAGGACGAGATGGTTGGACAGTGTCATCGAAGTGACCAACATGATTTTGACCAAACTCTGGGAGGCAGTGGAAGACAGGAGAGTCTGGCGTGCTCTGGTCCATGGGGTCATGAAGAGATAACACCTCTTCTCTCTAAAATAGTGCAACCTGAATAAGACATGCACATTAATTCTTGGGTATTTTGTAGGACTGAATATAATGGTCTAGTTCATGTCAAATACAAGATTGACAATAGGTACCACTGAGTAAGAGATCCCAGGAATAGTTGAAAAATTCAAGATTGTGCCATCTGAGTAACAGATCTGCACACTGAAGGCATTCATTCACAGAGATGTTCATGAAGGCTCGTTCCTCGGTCATGGATTCCCATTCGTCTTGTGACTTGGATCTGATAGCCCATTCACCCGACATCTGTTACACTTTGTTCACAAAACCACTTTTTTCTATAACAAAGTGAAACTTTTCCTGGGAGAATCAGCTGTGGTCAAAAGCCTCTTCTGCTGAATTCATGCATGAACACTAGACCAGGTGACACTCCTGCTCTTTCAAGTAATATAAGACCTCTGTTCCAATACTATTAAATACTCTGCAGGACGCAGGGTTCTTTATTAGCCCAAATCAACTCATGATGAAAATGTAATTGGGAAAAGGAGGTTTGAGACAGTTGAAAGACTGGTCTGCTTATTCTGCAACTGTATTTTGTCTTAAAAATTTAAAAAGCGTTTTCCTTATATATTTCATCAAACAGTTGGGGTTTCCCCCTTAAAGTATATAGTACACAATGTTTCCACCAGTGCTGCACTGATTATTTGTTAGTTTTAAACAGCAATTTCAATAGAGTATGCATTTTCCTTAAAAACACAAGTGTGAATATTCTCACTCTACAGATGCTTCCAGCTTTCAGGAATATGGAGGATTCCATTTACCGTATTTGCTGGCACACAAGGCGACCGGCCGTATAAGACGACCCCCCCCAACAGGAGGAGGAGGAAGAGGGGAAACGGGGGGGGTGGCGGGCGAGCGAGCGCGTTGCTGGCTCAGCAGCGCGGGGCAGCGAAAGGGAGAGGAAGAAGGCAAGAGGCTGAGGAGGAGGAGGAAAAGGGAAACGGGCGGGGGGCCGGTGAGAGAGTGCGCTGGCTCAGCAGCGAGAAGGAGAGGAAGGCAAGAGGCTGAGTGAGTGTGCAGCTGGCTCAGTGGCACGGGGCGGCGGGTAGCCTGGCGGTGGGCTCTGGCCGCTCAGGCATGGCAAGCTGTGCTTCCCTCCCTCCATACAGACCGACTGCCTGCCCGGCCGCCTGCCTTCCTCCCCAGCCAGCGCAGCCCCACGTCATTCAGCGCACCCGGCGTACAAGACGACCCCTCCACTTGGAGGCATGTTTTTTGGGCCCAAAAAGTTGTCTTGTACGCTGGCAAATACGGTAATCAGGAATTGTGCAGTAAATAGCATGACACGATACTAGGCAGATTTGACTTTCTAGATGCTTGGAAACAGAAAAGACTTGAAGATCATCTAATCAGACCTGCTCAGCACAGGAACCTAGATGACATCAAACTAAAAGACTTGAAGATCATCTAATCAGACCTTCTGCTCAGCGCAGGAACCTGGATGACATCAAACGATGAGTGAACGTAACAAAGATGTAGCAATACTGAATAATCCATAGAAGGATGAGAAAGTGAGGGGTTTGGCTTTACTTAACACGTGGAGGCTGAGTTTGTTTAGCTGCAACTTCTATCAACCGCATAATTAAGAGAGAAAGAAGAAAAATGTCCATCCCTTACCTCTTTTGCCCATGCTGGCTTCTCGCTGGCATTCAACCCTTCCTTGTAATGATAAAGGGCCTTCTTCTCGGCTGGTCTCTGCTCTTGTCTCTGTTGCTGCTGCTGTTGTTGCTGCTGCTGCAAGGAGACGAGGTAGTCCCGTTCCTGCTGCAACTGCCGCTGTAGCCTCTCTGCTTGCCGCTGCTCTTCTAGCTGTTTGCGCTTATATTCCTACCGAGATATAGGATACAACAATGTCAATGAATGGAACCCACAATATGAAGCCACAGAAAATACAGTCTGGATGGTGCTGAGAAAACAAGTTATTAAGTAGAAACATTAATCCTAATATTAAAGATGCAGTCATCTCCATATAAGATGTGAACCTTGGTCCCTGTACACAGTGGAGTAAATGTGTTTCAGCATTCTAATGCCCCATGTAGTTGCTTGGATGCTATTAATTGTTCAGGGGCTCCGATTTAAGAGAGGTCTAGTTTATTCTTTTTGGACACAAATGCATGCCCATGTACTTCATTACATATCTTTTTAAACTTTATGCTTCACATTGCTTTCACTGTCTCTTGATGAACAGAGAACTCCATTTTCATTTAATCAGGGTTACATCAAGAGCACAATTACTGGTACAGCTCAGTGGCTCGGAGGGCTTGGCTCCTGAACTTGAGGCCAGGAGTTTGAATCCCCACAGTGCTTCCTGAGAGAGGAGACAGCCAAGATCACACGCAGCATGGGTGACTGAAGGGGTAATGTGCCATGCCACCTATACAGCACTGAACAATCTGCACCATTCTAGAGCACCATCAGAAAGAAGGCCTGGTAAACTACTTCTGAGTCCTTTATACTGTACTTAGAAAAACTGGGAAGATTGTCCTAAGTCAAAATTGACTTGAGAGCACACAGTTAGTATTATATCAAGTGAGAGAACACAGGGGGGAAAATAGTCACAAAACTACTATTTATTTTCTGGTGAGGAAAACATTTTATTTCTTGTTATACTATGCATTTAACAGTTAACAATGAAAGTACTTTTCACTGAGCTTGGTGAATTACTTCTTAGAAGTGATTCCTTATGTATCTCATTGCAAAGTAAAAATAATTACTGTAACTACTACAAATGCACATGAAAATAACAGTGCATTGTTATGTTACTTGCTACTTTTCTATTAAAAAGTCAGGATTTATAGTAGAATGGCACAAAAATTCTACTCAAAATACCTCTAAAATAAATCACCCTTTAAAAATGACAAAAGGAACTAGGAAATGTTACTTGTCATACATTTTTTAAAATCTGCTCTCACTCTTACTTGGTATAATACTTTTGAAATGTAACATTAGAGCCTTATTATAAATTACAGTAACTATGTTAACTAGCTAGTTTCCAGGCTTTACTGTTTCATAACACAGGATTATGAAACTGGTTTCATATTTATAAAAGGAAAGAGTTTGCATAATCAGTCCCAATAGTTAAGAGATCTACTGGAAAGAAATAAAATAAGGTATGAATGCAACAACAGCACTGACAAACATAATATTATTTTTGAAAAAATATAATAATAAAAAGGAAAGCAATTGACATCCGAAACAGCAATATCTAAATTTGGCTTAGAGGAGGAAAGGGAAGAAGTCCATGTGCAGGCAGCTTGGCAATAAAAATATGTCAAAACTGTAAACAGCATGAAAAAGCAATGCCAAAGTATTTCTGTCAGGAACGTATAGCTAAGCAGCCTGGAAATGAAATATGCCATCAAATTCTACATAAAACCAAGCAGACCTTACAGGGAGCGAATACATTTTAGTAAGATTATATGCCAGCACGCATACTGCCAGTAACCTTCAATTAATAGCTCTACAGGAAATGCAGCATGCACAAGAAGTCTGTTTCTGTCAGGAAACTGAAGAATATTCCAGAAGCAGACTAAGCAAAGAAAGGCGGGCATAGTAAGGGATCCTTAATTTGCCAGCCCCCACCCCATTACTTGACAGAAATGGCAAGGCAAACGTTCTGGCTGTGGTTTGCATTCTCAAAAGAAACCTACATTGTACCTATCAGGAGCTGGATATACCAGGATAGCAGTTGGCAAAATACATTATCAGAACAACTTTCCATGCCCCCACTGGCCTAGCCTTTCAGGATTGCCACTTAAGGGGCTTTACAATCAGAACTGCTTTGATGCCTGGCTTTCTTGCTTGCTTTTGTTTAAAGCATACTTCCAACTGAAGCAGTCCACACCGCCTTAGTAATGCATGGCTACTGAAGGAGAATCTATTCACCTTCCTACTGGGTAAGCCTTGGTAATGTAGTACATTCAAACCAATTTCTCCCTAACTCCTGCAACAGAACCTATGTGCAGATAAATACAATGAACCCTTGGCCACACTCTTTCCTCGTGACTTAAAAACCACCTTTTAGACCTCTGTCACCCCTAAGGATTCTCAAAGGCATTTAATGGCACCAGGTCTGTTGTGTTAACACCATTACTTCATGGTGTTAACAACATTACTTTATAGAGTTGCCATAAGCTTCCAAATGTTATATCTCCCAAATATTTGAATGAAGGTAAGCTACTGAAGTTTAGCAAGATATGGAAGAATGGTTCTTTAGTACATGTGGCAACCCTGGAAGTCTGAAGGCACAGGTCCATGTAGGAGATAGCATGCAATCTTGCGACAGACAAAATGGAACTGGGCAGAGGCTGAAGGCACAGATCCGGCCTCCCCATTACCAGAAGAAGCGCTTGCTCCTGCAGTAACTGCTGCTGCAGGATCTCTAACTGCCTCTGTTCTTCCTCTAACTGCCGCCTGATGTATTCCTGGAGACGTGGCAGCAGGGAGCAGAGAAAAGAGAGAGAGAGAGAGAGAGAGAAAAGAAAGAACCGTAATTCCAAAGAGAAAGAAATAGCAACACAAGGAGGAGGAACTCCAGATACCCTGAAGAGACAGGACAAGGCACAGAATGAATTGTAATGTTATCACAGTGCAATAGATTCAGCTGAATACCACTTTGACAAATTGTGGCGGATACTCCACAAAATAAATGACACCGTTATGTTCAGGACTGCCTCATCCCAGTATTTTTAAAAGAGGAAGAAACATGATGGGCCACAAGTCCTCAAGTTCCGCAAAAAGAGGCAGGGGCGCATTATAGGATTAACATGCTCATGAAAAGCCAATTAAATTTTGACCACACCTATTCTACCGCTGGGAAACAAATAGGAGGAAAGACATACTATTCAGAGCGGCTGTTTCTTTAAAGCTCTGTTCCAAGACTGGGCTGGGACCCAATGTTTATACCAGGAAAACTGGAAGCATAACCCTGCTTCAACTGGGCAGATGTGCATCATTTTCTGAGTATCTCTTATTACATCAGTGCTTATGTGAGTGGCTGGTAGGGCAATGATGAATGCTGGATTTCCTAACTCTAACCAGAGTCCTCTGGTTTGAGGGGGGGGAGGGATACTTCGTTTTATCACTTTGGGGTGAGGTGCTCCTCTTGCTCCTCTTAGGTAAACCGCAGGGCAATCCTACGAAGCATTGAATACTTCACTCCCCCACCCTAAACTGCATAAACAGGCATGATCCCACACTTTCAATCCATTTCCACATCATTATTCTTATTTCAAATAATAAAATTTAAAAATCAAAATAGGAAATTCATGGTAGTTGCAGGCTATATTTGTTAACAAATCCTAAACTTTGTCTTGGGACAAAACCAAACAATTAATCTCCTCGTTACAGCCATCCCAGAGGGGAGAGAGCCAGGGAAACATGTGAACCTTAGGCTCACCACAGTTCATTTCTATAACACTACACTGTGATTTCTTATGATATTCCAACACAGTTACACAATACTGTACATTCTATTTACATTGCTTAACCCTATATATTCTTTAGATGTAGCAAAAATCAGAACATCCTGTAGTTTGATTGGGGGTTGGGGTTCACTCTAAAATGATGGGGTGAGTACCTATGCTCAGGCACTGAGAGCTAGAAAGGATCTGGAGACAAAATCACCAAAACTTTTTGAAAGTGTGGATGTGAAGTATCTACTGTATCTCACAGTTTTGTATTAATTGATCTTACTGATATATAGTCAATATACAACAATTTCTTAACTGTTCAGAAGTAGAAATAGGAAACAACTAAAGTGTAATGAACTGAACATCGTATCTTAACATGTCAAAGAGCAAACTCAGTTAAACTGCAATCACTTAATTGGAAGTACATCCCAGTGGGGCTTACTTCTGATTAGAGAGTTCTATAATTGCCTTGTAAAGAGTTTTAACTACTTGTTTTGCATCAGTTGTAATGAATCCAGTGGTAACTGTGAAATGCAAGCTGGAGCTGAATGGGAAAAATTTGGAATCACTGCCTGGACAACTTTTGTAAACTAAACTTTTTTTAAAAAAAAAGGATGTAGGAGAACTCAACTGAAACTGGGGAGTGAAGATACAGTGCTGAAGTGACACAATCATCATTTACATGCTTAGCTGAGGGAGGAGAAGGGAGTAATGAAGGACAGGGGACCAAATAAATATGAATTGGCTCCCAGAATTTTACAAGTTGCCTGGTCGAAAAAAAAAGGTCCTCAGAAGAAACAAATGTAATGAATCGAATTTATGTGTTACACTTAATTTATATATATATATTTAAATTCTCCTCCTCCATTAAATCCACATCAAAGGTAAGTTACCTAAGAATCTAGGTCAGTTTATTCTGTCTAGCCCAGCACTATTGATATTCTCTGGGGTTTCAGAACAGTAATCCTCTGGGGGTTTATCTTCCACGTGGCTCCATCTGAACTGGAAATCCAGAGACGAAACCTGGACATTCTACATGTCAGGCATGTGCTTTATTGCACCAATTCAATAAACTAAAAATTGCTAAACCGCAGCACTGCAGTGGATAAACGGAGACCAGTCACAATTAAGACCCACTGGCTGCGTATCTTAAGACATTTCATCAAGCAAACAAATGTGACTCTGCACAGCTAGTCCCACCACAGAAAAACACTGCTCTTGGTAACCACCCACATGCCTTCCAAAAAGTGGTAAATTCAGTGAAGTGATTAACTAATAATTCTAAATCACTGGTAAACTGATATTGTCACCAAGAGGCCACATCAGATTTTCTGATGTGTTGTTTTGGTAAGTTGGAGCTTTGCGTGAGTTACCTGCTCATGCTCAGCCCGCCTCCTCTCCTCTTCTCGGCGCATTTGCTCCTCATAATGCCGTCTCTGCTCTCGCTCTTGCTGCTTTCTTAATTCCTTCTCCCGCCTTTGCTGCTGTAAGAGAAGGGGGGGTGTAACTCTATAAAAATCTGGTAAAATCTTTGGCCAGTATACACAGAAGATCTCGTAAGAACAAGCTTCAGAGACGGAGTCGTATCGGTCTCTTTCAGCAACAATATGAAAGAAATAAATACTGTGCCTCCTTTAGAACTAACACATTTTTTAGTTCATGAATAGTGAACATTCATGGATATAAATTTTTTTTTTCAAGTACATGAAACACAATCTGGCCTGAAGATTCTAATAGTACAGAAGTTTGATCGGATTAAGCATCAAGCTAGAAACCTCCAAATGAGTAGCAAACCTGTCGTGAGAATAAAGCATTAAAACTACAGCTCAGATTTGCATTCCTTGCATCTAAAGAAGTAGATTCTATCCACAGTGAAATAAATGTTAGCCTTAAAGGTACAGTAAAACTACTGCTTTTGTTTTGTTTAATTTTATTGTTTCATTAGAAGAGTATCCCTGCACAGCAACAGAGCTTCAAATGTCATTGTGACAGATAATTTATCCCTATCTCCCAAAGAAATGAAGTTTAACTAAAAAAAAAAGTATCCTATGATAGATCCACATCACTCTGTTCTAGTCAGACAATAGGAGTGTATAAACCACATCAATGTTGAGTAGATTCCATGCACATAAATCCACTGATTAGTCCCAACTAGAGTAGACATACTGAATCCATGAAAACCTGTTACACTGAATCAGTGAGTCCTTTGGTACATTTCACTGATTCACTGATTTAGGAACAAATTAAATGTTTTCCTAAACAGGAAAATAACATAAAGGAGCTTCGAATACCATAAAGTCTAGTTGCAGATTAAATTAAGTGAACATAGAACCACTTGGATCCAGAAGAGGCAGGACACCAACCAACAGAAGGATCTTAAGATTTCGGGACAATTAGAATAATGAGTAAGATTAAATTAGTAAGAATAACTAAAATTAGTTCATCTCTGATGGATGACATCCTGGATTCTATGGACTCACATGAAGAGTCGCTCTGCTGATCAGAAACATCAGGCCACCCATCACTTTAGTCTACTCTGCTATTTCCTGAAAGGACTGAGGTCCTTTTGAAGTAGCACACAAAAACACTCTTCCTGCTAATGTCTGACAGCAAATGGTATTCAACAGCAAGCTACATCTGAATGTAGAGATCCATTTTAGGTCCCACAGCTAATAGTCACTGGTACAATTTAAATAACACGGAAGAGCTATTAAATTCGATATGCAAAGATTCTATGTAGGAGTATCCTTCTCACCAGAGCAAACCATATGGCTTCAAGGGAAATAATGAGGACTATTTTTACTGGATTCCAAAGAATGCACACTGACTTTGATTGTCCCAAAATCAAGAATACAAAATCTCTCCAAATTAATGAAGAGTACAGTACAGTCCTGAACAGCCATTTGACATGGGGACTGGAGATATCTCAGACTTCTGGAAGTAAAAAAAATATCTATGGAATACTTTTTACATTGAAGACAAAAAAAACAGATCATTCCTTGGAATTTAGCATAACTTCAGGATTTTGCACAAGGAACCCATGGTGTTTCTGAAAGTAAGCCACAGTGATGATGATTTTTTTCAAGCATAAAAGAGCCTATTGTTTGAGCAGGGTGGTGGACATGTTCTCCACTGCTTGGACGATGAGACACTGATGCTTACATTAATGGATTGTGCTAGGATTAACATGCAAGCAGCCTGTGGTTTTTCCACTCTCAATTTCTTGCACTGAATTTGTGGTTACCTGCTGGACAGCAAAAGAAGCTGCTTCCAACAGGAAACCACCTGGAGGGCTCAGCCACCTGGACTGGGGGTCCAAGACTTTCCCTGGGCAGTCACAAAAGAATGGACAAAAATTTTTGGGGAGTGATCAAGATTTATAAAAAGAGGAGGACTGACACATTGTTCGTGTTGTTGCTACCATGTGATCTGAAATCCCAACACAGACATGGCTTTCTCTAAGCCATGTTAATTTGCTCAGGGAAAGAAAAGGCCAGTCATTTGAAAGTCAAGCAGCTTTTTGTATATTAGCAACCTCTTTGCACAGAAATCAATACGGTCCCATAATTACATGCTACTCAGGTCTGCAGCACAAGGCATACTCAGTATTGATTGCAGCCACGGATGAGATGTGTCTACATATGAGGCTGTGTGCCTTGAAAGAGAAATGAAGATGTGTAAAATCCTTCATTAGTAGTGGCATTAAGCAGTCTGGCCGATGATAGCAGCACACAGCTGAGTGGGTGGTGCTTGGATTCTGTTTTTTTTTAAAGCTAAAATGTACGTTTCCAATCAGATTCTGATCATGTTCTCACTCTTCTGCTAAGAGAATGTTGCAGTTTTACTAGCATGATACTCATAGCTTTTTCTGAAAAAGTGACTGCCTTTCCACCAAAACCAGCTTTTAGTGTAATATGTTTACATTTCATCACTCAGTTTTCCTTGAGTCAAAATAAGTCAGTGGTGTGGGTTGAGAAAATGCTGTAACAAGCCTGCCATGGCATATACCTTCTCGTGATGCATCCTCACTGCTGGAACCATGAGCAGTTCCTTTTTAAAAAAAAATAAAAAATTGCTAAAATTTTATCTACTCTTTCCTGCTATTTCATGAATCTTTAAGAGTTTATTGATTTAGAAGTTTCTCTGCAGTTATACACTTCACCCCCACTCTACAAAGCGGGACTTTGAGGGCTCATCTGACCCTTTCTCTTTCTCTCTTTTTAAATTGAACAAATAAATTCATTACAACAGTACAGGATATTTTGCTACTGATGATGATTGGAGAGACGAATCGAAATTAACATGCAACTGAAGCTTAGTTTTCTCATCCTGTGCAAAGACCACATAACAAAGGATGTCAAATGCAAATAGGGCAGGCTCTGCATGTGGACATAACATGGAAGGAAGAGGGAACACAGTGGTCACTAGAGGGCTTGTTTGTTTGTTTAGCCGTTTAGTCGTGTCCGACTTTTCGTGACCCCATGGACCAGAGCACGCCAGGCCGTCCTGTCTTCCACTGCCTCCCGGAGCTGGGCCAAATTCATGTTGATCACTTTGATGACACTGTCCAACCACTAGAGGGCAGTCATGTGGAAAACAGCGCAGAGGTGGCACAGATGTCAGGGGTTCATAGGCCATCTTTGTCACAAGGCTAGGATTCTTCTATGATTAACATAAAATAAAAAACAGTCATGGGGGAGCCTTAAAAAGACCAGACTTGTTGCTGAGAGAAGGGATTAAGGCTTTCTCTTCAAATTAAAATCCCTCTAGTCAAAGTGGTTATTTGCCCTGAAGGGAAAATCTGTACAGGCATAATATGGGTAATCTGACTGGACAGCTCAGTGGTTTGGAGCACTTGGTTATGGAGCCAGGTGTCAGGGTTTGATTCTCCACCGCATCTTCTGGGAAAAGAACCAGTCTGTGTGGTCTTGAAGCTGTAAGGTTCCAGAGTGACCACCAGAAGGAGAAATGGGTAAACAATTGTAATTACTTTACACCCAGAAAACCCAGGGAACAACCACCACAAGTAGCATCAACAGTAACAGGAGTAGCAGTCACTTTACAATTGCCCCAAATTACGATGAAACCGCATTACGTTTTTGCGATCGCATTTGTGATCGCAAAATGATGGTCTGAATAGGCTTTTTTCGCTTTGCGATGATCCGTTGGTTCCCTGCTTCGGGAACCGATTCTTCACAAAACGATGATTTTCCTACAGCTGATTGGCTATTTCAAAATGGCCGCCGGGTAAATAAAATGGCTCCCCGCTGTTTTCTGGGACAGATTCCTTGCAAGACAGCCACAAAAAATGGCTGCCCTATGGAGGATCTTCGTTGGACGGTGAGTTTTTAGCCCATTGGAACACATTAAATGGGCTTTAATGCGTTTCAATGGGTTTTTTATTTTCACATTACGACGTTTTTGTTCTACCGCCATTTCGCTGGAACGAATTAACGTCGTAATGCGAGGCACCACTGTATTTGTTTTATGGCTGTGTACTTAGGAAACGAATTTCTACGTGGACAGTTTTATATTTGGAAAACATGTCGAGGGGAAAAGAGTGAACTCCACCTTTTTTGGTGCCACACTCCTCACCTGATATCACCCATTTCACTACTGCCATTAATCTCTTTAAAATTATGAGGAAAAAATAACGTCATATGTTATATCTAGTTGTTCTCCAAAAGTCTGAACTACCACGACCACCCCCATTACCAGTTTAGCTTGCAATTCACTTCTGTTCCTGAGTGCAGTCCTATACTACTACCAGTACTTCTTTTCTGTATACAGTACATGGTTTGTATGACTACTGAGAAAGAGACACTGTACCACTAACACTGAACTGCTGGACACTTGCTAGACAGATATCCTAGCTGCTGTGCATGTGGAATGTCTCTATGTTCACAGTGGTCACAGAAGATCCACTGCACCCCTAAAGCCTGAAAGTAGTACCTTATGAGGAAATAGGTAACCTACAATACATTGTGTTTATTATTATTTGTTTGTTTAAAACATTTACAGCATGCCTTTCTCCTCGAGAGGACTCAAGGTGACTTGCAGCATTATGTTTGAGGTTGTGCTACTACCAATACTGTTACTTTTACCATAAAGATGGATGTGTGTTTAATTTATTTTGATTTGATATAATGAGTCACATTTGAATAGAATGTTGCTTTTGCCAAGACTTACCCACGTCTGTAGCTATATGTGTATTTAAAGGTAATATTAAAAAGCAGCCAGAAAGTGTGTTGGTAGGAAGTAATTGAACAATGCAGACTTCCAACAACGAAAAACAGTAATGAGCCAGTTCTCAAAAGAAATTGGGGGGGGGGGGGAAATCCATTATAAACTACAATTTCCAAACTCTGAACATTCTAAACTTCTTTGGAACACAGTATTTAAAGGTAATATTAAAAAGCAGCCAGAAAGTGTGTTGGTAGGAAGTAATTGATCAATGCACACTTCCAACAACGAAAAACAGTAA